GTCTTCAGTGGTTTGTTAGGTGGAACATCATGGTCCTCTTATAACCTAACCTGTGTGTCGGGCCTTCTGTCAGATGCACATCCACTGCCCTGTGCTGGGTATTACTGGATTTTGCCAGTTGTCTCTTTTCTTTTTGTTCTTCTTTTAAGTTTATTTGACTGTGCCGGGTCTTCATTGCGGCATGCGAACTCCTGTGGGATCGTGAGTCGCAGCATGTGGGATCTAGTTCCCTGACCAGGTACTGAACCCAGGGCCCCCCTGCACCGGGAGTGCAGAGTCTTAGACACTGGACTACCAGGGAAGTCCTGCCGATTGCTTCTTTAAGTGGCCCTGAGTGCAAGTCACTGATCCACAGTCTTTTTCTGCCATCAGTTAGCAGCAGTGGAAACCATGCTGCTGCAGGAGCTAAATGAACTGTTTCCTTTCGTTTCTGAATAGAATTATTGGCTTTACATGTAGACTCGGTCATGTGGAATTTTAACGAACTGTAATGATCTCTTTGGTTCCCAGAGGTTTGAGCCTCTGTGCAAAATATTCCTGAATCACCTTCAGGACTTCCTGTCTGCATTTTTGAATGTCACCTTTGCCCTTCTTGTTTTCTTGAGCACAGCTGCATAAAACAGGTTAATACCAGCACTGTTTTGCCATCCTTTTTCACATTGGACAACTGCAAATGATTCAGATAAGCCACAGTCCAAGACACGCTCTTGTGTTGTCAAAGAATACCCTCTGACCTTAGTGTACCCCTTTTGAGCTGCTCATTGTGTCTCGTGCTTGCCAGAATTGGGGTCTGAAGCTTGTTGGTAAGGTCAGAGAATTTTGACAAGTTTGGAGATTCAGCGTGTGTGTGTGTGTGTGTGTGTGTGTGTGTGTGTGTGTGTGTGCGCGCGCGCCAGCCTTGGGGGCCGTATTAGTGACTAAAGCTTGTGATGTGGAGGGGCTGCTTTGTTGCCAAGTTACAGAAAGGGTTGGACTATTGCCAAGAGAGTAGTTTACGCCATCTTTTTTTACTTTCTTCTTCAAAATGAGGGAAACGGTGGTCAGCAGTTGTTTCCCCCAATTGACATCTTGCAGAGAACCTAGTTGTTTGCCACAGTTGACCTCCTGGTTTCAGGGAATGGTGGAAGCCTTGTTATTGCTGCCTGGACGTTGAGGTAGCCCTTGGCGTTTGTTTTAATAGTTTTGTGTTTCTCTTAAGTCAAAATGATTTACTGCAAACAAATCATTAAGACGTAATACTTTTTTGGAGAAGTTGCGACAAGTCATTATTACCCAGCTGATCAGTGAATCATCATTCGTGGAAATTAACACAGTCTTGAACATACTTTTTTTCTGTGAACCCAGTGATTTTCAGTTCCCAGGTTCTGAGTCAGTGGGGCTTAGGTGGGTGGGGCCCAGGAATTTGCATTTCTGTCGAGATGCCTATCTGGGGAAACACATTTTGCTAAGTGCTCAAGCTTCTAGGCTCCTAAGAAGCTTTATGTCTGAAATGGAGTTCTCCTGTGACGACAAGCCTTCTAACATGGCCTGGGTCAGTGTCATGCTGCCGTGGTCAGAAGAGAATGTCAGCAGATGGCTTTCCATGAGTGCCATGCGGCATGTGGGCAGCAGAGCCGGGCGGCTGTTTTGGACATAAAGGCGTTGTCCACAGCCTGTTCTGCAGAGCTGATTAAGAGGCTGAGCTGAAGTCATCCAGTCTGCTGAGTGAATGACCCCGGAGTGCTGTGCTCCAACCCTGGATCTGTCGGGAGGTTTGAAAGCCGCGCTAAACAACATTGCCAGTGTCATAGAACATTAAAAAGCTGACAAATGCCCCAAAGGGTGGAATTTATTTTATAGCATCTAGAATGTGAACATGAGTCATGTAGTGTACTGGGATAGAATCCCAATGTACGATTGGCCCTTGTATCAGACGGGAACTTCAATTTTAGTCTTTGACAGAATCATTGTCAGTCCTTCAGAGAATAAGTGCAAAAATAGTGTTTCATCAGGAAGCTTGCAGGAACGTGGCCAGGGCCCCACACAGTCTTGTGTGTCTCTACCAAATTATAGCCACCCTGAATCTTCACTGAAATAAAAATAACATTTCCTGCAAGCAATGGTCCGAGTGTGTTTCCAATATCTGCAGATGAAAGGCCTTCTGGGAGAGACTGTTCTTCAATGCAATTCACAGGGAAGGAGCATCCTTTCATGTGCTTGTCAGTATTTCTGCTCGCCTAGTGCATTTCTTTTACGTTAAAATGAAAACTGTTCGGTCAGATGAGCCACACATGAGGTATTTTATCAGATCACCCCAGGGTGTCAGTGTAGGCCCTCTGACAGCCAGTCAGTATGAGGTGTGCATGCAATGAAATGTTTTAATTTTCCTTCAAAAGGGCAGGCAGGGATGCTTCCAGAGCAGTGGCCTGCAAACTGTCTGTCCTAAAAGGAGAGGGAGGCCCTCGGCGAGTTGACTTTGGTTCTGTTCCACAGACGCTCAGCTCCAGTTTTAGAATCGGTTTCCCAGTTGCATGGGGTGCAGTCAGCCAAGTCACACACAGATTGGTTTGTGTGTTCTTCCAGGGTTTGGGGTGATTTGCTTCTCTGTAAAGCCCAAACATGAAGCTGGAGGGATGAGTGAGAAGGGCTATTAATATAATTCATTTGGAAGGGGTTTTTATTTAGTTAAAGTATTGAGTAAGCAAACAAGGTAGTGTAGGATTAACTAACTTAAGAAAAATCTTTTGAGTGTTTCTTCTGAGAATAAATTTTTACTGAGTTTGAACAGAAATGATGCTTATAATCGAGATGAAATATTAAAGGACAAACAGCCAGTGTAATGCTTGACAAAATGTGTCTTTAAAATTAAGAAAATATATATTTACATGGTAAGAGAATTGAGGAAATCTGCTTTTTAAATGTCACCCTTGTTTGTATTTATAAGACAATAGATTTTCTAAACTTGTTGAGGCCACATGACCTTAAAAGGAAAACAGTATTTTTAAAAGAAATAAAGCAGCTGAACACTCAAACTTGTGATTTACTTTATATGTGTCTCCCCACAGCAGGTGGGGTAGTGCACAGGATATACGGATTGATTCTACTGGTGTTTTCAGTTGAACTTTCTCTAAGAAAATCTCTAGTTATTACCCCTGGGGCTCGCAGTTCTGGTAGCCTCTGTTTTAAGTCTAAAAAATAATCATAAAAGTATTTTTGAAGAACAAAACTCAGTTTCCCAGAACCATTGGCTGCTTTTTTTCAGAGCAGGGATTGGGGAGTATTTTTTATTTTTGGTTTAATGATACCAGTGTTTTACAAAGCTATCACAATAGTATAAAATTTTGTGCTTTTTTAAAATTAAAAATTGTCCTGCAAGTTACTGATGTTTTGAATTTTTTAAAAGTTATCTTGAAATTAATTCTGTTGGAATGATGAACTGTAATTTACCCACCCACACAGGTTGTTGAATCTGGAGGTTGATTTTGATTACTGGTGCCTTTGAAGGTATAGCAGTGAACATCTTGTTGATTCAGTTTTTATTCTTCTGTTGAAATTTGGGTACACAATTTATTTTTATAGTGGTTGATATGTTTCTTCAACTTTTACTGAAAATTGTTTTGGTTTTTTTTTTTGTTTGTTTGTTTAGAGTTGGGAGCCATCTCTCAATTTACTAAATGGAGAATTGAGAATTACGTGAACCATAAAAATATTGATCCTTCTAACCCAGGACTAACTCATCAGGTTCTGGTTGTCAGTAGTAATAACGACCACTTTCGAAGAGAATCTATGCTTTTATAAGTCTCATTGTTTTCTGGCGTTGCAGGCGGTATCGATTAAACTGGGTGAACCAGCTACCAGATCCAGAATAGTACACTGGAGCCTAAATTAGTGAACTAAAAATAAATTTGGTTTCTTAGCCATAGGATTTGGTTTATTAAATTGTAGGCTAGGCAACAAGTCCTCAAACCGCAGAGTACCAGGACTTTGTTTTTTCTGGCGTTCACAGAACAGTGGTATTCATGCTGATGGTTCCATTTGTAAACTGGATCATGCCCTGCCTGGCTTTTGAATGCCTGGTAATAATGTGCCTTAATTGCAGGTCAGTGAAGCCAAACTAATTGCTTGTTGGGCACTTGGATTGCCTTTTTAATTTGCTGTATAATGCAGTCCCTACCAGAAATGCACAATATGCCGTTATCTAAATAAAACTCATTAAAATCATCTTACAGACAACAGAATGCCTGATATTTTGCCCACAATCTTGCAAATAAAAGCAAATTGAATGGCATTATGGAGAGCTGTAATTTAGGAGCACTCTTTTAAAAAGTGGCTTTGTATCCATTTTAAAAGTATACATAAATGACTGCTATGGTTTCTGTTAGTGTGATAGGTTTCTTGTTTGTTTTTACCAAGGATTATTTTGCTTCATGCTTTTAATACGTTTTAAATGGGAGTAATGACAGTTCACCCAGTAAGATCAGTACTCATCCAGTGATGGCATTTCAGTTTAAAAAAAGAAGAAAAGAAAGACATTGGTGACACATTCCTAGCTCACAAAACACCAGTCCGTAGGGATTACCTTTACGGTTTGTGGGGACAGTTGTTCACAGGGGTTAAGATGGTCAGTACACTGTAGGACTTGTTTTCTCTGTTTCTCTGGACTAACAGGGCAGCTCAGCAGAGGACTTCGTTTTAACTCTTTGATGACTAATTTTATTCATCTAGCTAATATTTATTGGCTCCTGAGTGCCAGGAACTGTTGTAGGTGTTGGGGATACCAGTTTTTGTTTTGTATTTGTAATAAATATTTCAGACTCAAGAAGTGTGCTCAGTCATGTCTGACTAATATTTAGCTCTAGAGAAAGATGTGAAGTGGATCTTAAGACTCTTCAAAATGATTTTAGAAATAAGGTAATATAATTAAGGAGCTTCTACAAAAGAATTTTCTAGATGTTTATATCAGTTGCTTTTTTTTTTAAATAGAAGTTAGTCCATTATCCATTTTCCTTTTCTTTTGGTAGGTTATTTCTTATGAGAGTCATGGATATCCCCTATCTAAACTTGGAAGGACCAGACTGTAAGTGAATTTTTCATTTTCTCATTGCATCTGCACATTTAAGTGTGTGGTCTGGAAAGGATAACAGGAACAGAATTACTGAAGAAAGAGCTTTATTCACTTAAAAATAGCCAGTGATTTTGTGGTTGATATGAATAGTACGCTTAAGTTAATGTTACCCTTGGGCCTTGATTAACCCATCTCTTTACTTACATTTTCCAGTTTATACATGAGTTGAATTTTAAAAAATATATATCTTCTCATCATTACTTCATTTTCACTCAGCACTCTGAGTTCATGATTTTCTGTAAATACATTGTATATGTAATAGATTTCAAGATGTACTAGCCGTGTCAATAACAGTACATTTTCTGTTTTCCAGTTATTTGAGTATGTATATATTTAAGTTTTGTGGTTAGGTTTTTTTTTTTTTCTTTTTGAAGACCTCGGACAACCAGGCTGTTTGAGAGGTAGTTGTTGCTTCATCCGATTGTTCTTTTCCATTGCTGTTTTTGTAGCCTTGGTGAATTGCCTTAATATATGCCATAGGCATATAGAAACAGAGGAATTACACTTTATACACAGTGATAATAATCACTGCAGTAGAAGTTTGGGGACATACTGTGTTGCACTTCGTCTTAGTTTTAATGCTCAAACCTGTCGTCCTTGCAACAGTTCTGTGAGCTGAGTCTCGTCGTCCCCAGTCTGTAACCACGAGTGGCTTGGGTGGTTAGGTCTCTTGCACTGAGTCGCACAGTCACGTGGTGGGTGTGGGATTAGAAAACAAGATTGTGACAGGACCGCGTCTGTTCAAACACATCCATTCAGTTTGGACAATGCATTTCTTTTTTTAAGTTGGATACACATGGACATTAGGGCTCATTTGGTAATTGCAAGGCTCTCATAATTATTCTCCAAGTTAGCCTGCCCTCAGTTTCATTGACAGACCACTGGTCAGCTGTCCGCTTTTCAGCCATCAACCTCTCATCAAAAGTTTGTTTTGTAGTGCAGCCTAAGCGTGATCATGTCCTCCATGTGACATTCCCCAAAGAGTGGAAAACCAGCGACCTTTACCAGCTTTTCAGTGCCTTTGGTAAGTCAAGCACAAGTACAGATGTCTTTTTAGGGCCTGCTCCTCTTACGGCCTAGGTGGCCAAAGTATATAGACGGTTTCAGCTTGGACATAAAGGAGGGTTAATGTGCAAAGTTTCCATCTCACTCGGAGAGTTTTTGGAGCTTGGTATGCTGCTTTCTTATGCCAGTATGACCTGAGGACCTTTTGCTAGCATCCCACAGTAGAGCACTGTTATTCATCTGTATCCATGGAAATCAAGAACAGTTAGACCCTTACGACCCATGGGGAAGAAGTCTAGGCTAAATCATTGTTAAGGTGAAATTGAAAGACAATACCTGTTTCATAAGGGCAGGCAGTTGCTGCTTGATATCAAATAGTCCAGCAGATAAGCACAGATGTTTGAGAGGACCAAGTATGAGGTAGGTTCTTTTGTTACCTTTTTAATCAGGTCAGACCATTAGATTCAACTGAACAGTCTTCTGATGTAAGTCTTCAGCAGTGTCTCTTAATTTTAACAAAGTATTTAAACTGTCATCTCTGGAAATTTGTGATTAAAATGGAAACAGTAAAGACTTGAATGTCCAATAATAATCATGTTTAGTGAATGTTAATGTGTCGCCCCAACAGATGAGTATGTAGCCATTTTAGAAAGAGCTGAAGTTTGTTAAAAGATGTAAGGTGTTTATATTTTAGCATTTATAGTAAAAAGCAGATACAAAGTAGAATTCCTATATAACTAACATCATTTTTGTTGAACTTAGAAATCACACTGAAAGGATGCACTGTGCTCTTATCACTGAATGTTTTAGATAGGATTTTTTTCTTCCTCTTTGTGCTTTTCAATATTTCTTAAGATAAACATATATTAGCTTTTATAAGTACAAAACGTCGTGCAATTTTTAGGAACGTAAATGAACACAAGGGTATTTCTAGCAAGTTATCCTAATCTTTGCAGATAGTCTAAATGACTTCTGAAATTCTGGCCTGCTTTTTAATTTAAATGCAATTAGATTTCACAGTGCATTCCTTTGGTAAGCTTTTGATGTTGTTTCCCATCTTGTGTTGCTCTTACCCTTATTTACTCAAACTTTAATTGGCTAAATTCAGCAGGACGCTCTGAGTAGAATATTTTTCATTTTAATTAAAGAAAGGTTAGCTGTGTGATATTAAACAGGTAACCTCTCTGTATTTGTGTTTCCTCCTTGGAGATGATGATGGTGATAACTGTACTGCCTATTTAATAGGCTTGTCAGGATGATCAAATGAGCTGATCCATGGAACGCATTCAGAATAGTATGTGGCCTAGAGTAACTACTTAAGAAACGTTAATTGTTGAGTCACTAAGTCGTGTGCAACTCTTTGCAACTCCATGGACTGTGGCCCACCAGGCTCGTCTGTCCCTGGGATTTCTCAGGCAAGAATACTGGAGTGGGTTGCCGTTTCTTCCTCCAGGGAATCTTCCCGACCCAGGGATTGAATCCACATCTCCTGCATTGGTAGGTGGATTCTTTTCCACTGAGCCACCTGGGAAGCCCCCGAATATTATTTGTCTAAAAAAAACATACAGGGTAGAGAGCTAAGGAAGTCATGGTCCTGACTTTTGTAATTGAGAAAGTCCTGGCACCCCATGGTGCAGCAGGAAGTAAAAGTCCTTTCCTGTGAAGGAGAAGCAAAGCAGTTTTCAAGTGTTCCGAAGCCTTCAAAAATTTTAATAGATAATAAGACATTTTTTCATCACTAAGTTCTGGTGATGTTTAGCCATTTAAAAAAAATTCCAGTCTCCTGTGTTTTTTCAGGAAGAGGGTAGTGGGTAGATCTCTGCTTGCCCCTGGGTTTTCTCCAGCTCCCAGCCCTCTGCTCCTCTCCTGCCTCTGTCCGCTCTCCTGTATTCCACTGTTTTCGTTTCGCCTTTGCAGAGGACTTGTCTCTGTATGTGAAAGTGCCACTATGCTGCTTTCTGTCCTTCCGTGTTTTTCTTTTCTGCATTGGTCTGTCTTGGTTTCCTCTCTCTGACGCCTTCTTTTCCTCATCCTCTGTCCCCTACCCATTTTTCTTTATTTGAGTTCTTTCCCTGGCCTTGAGATCAACAGTGAATTTTTCTTATTTCTTACACATATGGTCTCTGGTTTTTACTACTGATCTTTTTAAAAATATACCAGGCTCATGGACTTTTAGTCTTTTAGTACATGAACCTGGCATATTCCTTCATTTATTTAAGTCTTCGTTAGTTTTCATTTGTTTGTTTATTTTTAATCCTGACCCCAGCAGTGAAAGTGCCGAATCCTAATGACTAGACCACCAGGGAACTCCTTTCTCCTGATCTTGATTGGAAAAAAGTCTCTAACCCTGGCAGGAGATTGGGTTGAATGATAAACTGCCTCAGGATTTAATCCAGAAGGGTCTTTTTTTGTTTGTTTTTAAAACAAAACTCTTAAAGATTCTTCTGGTTTTCCTGGTTTATCCGCTTTCTTGAAGTTTTAACTGTAGTGGCTACTGTGATAGATGTAAGTTTTATTTCTCTTTAGTGCTGAGATTTTGATCATCTTTTAAACTAACACCTCTCTTTAAATTGATGGATGTTCCGAAATATATCAGATATACAGATGGAATCTGATAGCTGTCTAAATGGATAAATGCTTACTTTGCTTTTAATTCAATATTGCAGGTAACATTCAGATATCCTGGATTGATGACACGTCAGCATTTGTGTCTCTCAACCAGCCTGAACAGGTACCGATTGGTAAGTGTGTTGGGCCTTTGTTTTGTGTGTTAATTAAAAAGTGGGAGCTTGCCCGCTTCCCGGTCTAGATGCTGTGGTGTTCAGTTAACTGATTCACAAGCATTGCTGCCTGGTTTGTTTTGAGCTTGTCTCTAAAATAAAGGAAGGAGTAAGTATTGCAGGTAGATGAGAAAATAAGATAAATGTACTGATTCTTTAGAGATACTCTATCATACATTTTTCACTTTTCTGTTCCTTTCTTATAGCCCTTTTTCTAAAATGATTTGTATGTTTACTTTGAAGGATAGAAAGAGCAAATTGAGAGGAATGGGGGACACCAGATGGTGATTCCTATATTGACCTGTTTGCCTCTGTACTTTTTCCCATTTATTTTATAACTTTTTGTGATTCACTTATTCCATTAAACTGGTATCAAATACTCGTTTTACAAACAAATAAACTGAAAGATACTTTAGTTGCTTCTAAATTAGGATTGTAAAAAGGTCGAATACCAACTCTTTTATTGTTGGACCCTAAATAGTTTTGATATTAACCATCACAAAACATCCTGTTTTCTTAGGATGCAAAGCTATTGAAGAATATATGTATTGTTCAGCTATTTCTTCACATAGATTTCAAGTTCCCTGGTGCAAATAATAAAAACATGTGAAAATGTTAAGTATGCTGATTAACGTTTTCTTCTTATTAAACAAAGTGCCACAGACTAACAGTATATAATTCTGATGATGTATGAGCAGAATATAAGCAGTTCTATATGAAAATTTCTACAAACACGAATTCAGGTCAAATTTTTTTTGGTATTTAAAAGAAAAGTATATAACCATCACAGGAATATATGCCATGTTATAGAAATGGAAAGTTTAGGCTCTGTAATCATATTGCGGCACTATCTATAATTGTGTGACCTTGGGCAAATTCTTTGATAAACTTCTGCTTATCTTTATAAACTGAGGACTGTGTTACGGATTTTCTAGGATTATTGTGAGGATTACATGAAATGGTTATGTATATAAAGCTGGCATTGCTTTGAACTTTTATGATGGTTATTTCGAAGTAGATTTCAATATGAAAGGCACTGCAGGAGCTCATGACACCAGGAACAGTACTGGATACAGGGTGTGAATGATACTGCTGTTAATATTTACATGTTTTCATATTTGCTTATTTGTGGCCCATCTCCCCACAATCCTTAGAAAGACAGTTTACATGGAATCCAAAGGGAATGGATTTTTAGAAATCGAAGGATGACTTTCAGGTGTGGGGGCAGGGCCCCTGAGATTAAGACGGCCCTGAGACTTCAGCATGGATGAGAGAGACTGACGGGAACTCCCCACCCCAAATCTTTTTTTTCCCCCATTTTTCTCTCATTTGTTTCTGGCTGTGCTGGGTCTTCTTGCTGTGCACGGGCCTTCCCTAGTTGTGGCGCGCGGGGGCTGCTCTTCCTTGCGGTCGAGTGGGCTTCCCATTGCAGCGGCTTCTCTTCTTGCGGAGCTCGGGCCCTAGGCACATGGGCTCAGTAGGCTCAGCACCGGACTCTAGAGCAGTCTCAGTAGTTGTGCTGCAGGGACTTTAGTTGTCCCGAAGCCCGTGGGATCTTCTTAGATCAGGGATCGAACCCATGTCTCCTGCATTGGCAGATGGATTCTTAACCCGCTGTACCAACAGGGAAGTCCTCCACCCTAAATCTTCAGCTCCCTCGCTCTGGTCAGTGAGCTTAAAAGCTACTGTACTATTGAAAGACGCAAAAATGAGTTAAGGGAATAATCATTATGGGACATCAAATATGGTTTAACAGGAACATTAAAAGAAGCCTTGATACCTTTTACCCGTAAACAAGGAATTATGCCGTGCAGTGGGAGCGAAGGGGATGCAAAGGCTTTGAAGTCACACTGACATGGGAACTAACCTTTCTCTGCCACCTGTCAGCCATGCACCTCGAGGCATGTTACATAAACTCTAAGCCACAGGTTCCTCACTTGAGAGATGGAGATGATGATAGTTACTTTGTAAGATGAGATCACACACTATCTGTCCTCTGTTGGCTGCTCTGGGTCTCAGTTGTGGCACTCAGGATCTTTGATCTTTGTTGTGGCATGCATGATCTTTAGTTGCAACATGTGAACTCTTTGCAGCTTGTGGGATATAGTTCTCCAACCAGGGGCTCTTCAGCCCCTGCATTGGGAGCTCGGAGTTTTAGCCCCAGGACCACCAGGGAAGCCCCAAGATCACAGATTTTAAGTTCCCAGCAAAGAGTCTGGCACTCCACCAGCAGTGCCTGACAATTGGTAGTAATTATTATGATACTGCTTGGCCTCCCTCGCTGTGAATAGTAAACATAAGTGTGTGTAAATCTGGAATCTGTAAGACACTAGTGAGTAGTATTTACTTGAAAATGCAAGCATAATTCCTTGTTTATGGGTAAGAGGTGTCAAAGCTTCTTTTAATGTTCCTGTTATACTGTATTTGATGTCCTGTAATGATTGTTCCCTTACTTATTTTTGCATCTTTCAATAGTACAGTAGCTTTTAAGCTCAATATTTTATTCAGTGATACCTGAAATCAGGGAGCTAGATTTCAGAATCACGTACCCACAGAAGTCCTCTGATTTGTGTATTTGGCCATCTTATTCACCACTGGGGGCTTCCCTGGTGGCCCAGATGATGAAGAATCTGCCTGCAATGCAGGAGACCTAGGTTTGATCCTTGGGTCAGGAAGATCCCCTGGAAAAGGAATGGCTACCCACTCCGGTATTCTTGCCTGGAGAATCCCATGGACAGAGGAGCCTGGTGGGCTACAGTCCATAGAGCTGCAAAGAGTCAGACATGACTGAGTGACTGAGACACAAATGCACTCACCCCTGGATCCCCCTCTCATGCCTGGCCTGTGAAAGGGCCATGTAGGGAATCGGCCAAGATGAAACTGTGACCTTTTTACCTTTCTTCTTCCTAGGTTAAGAAGTTAGGTGACGGCTTTTTTTTTTTTTTAATTCCTTCTCTTCTTTGTTTTTTATTTATTTTATTGTTATTATTATTTTTATTTGGGGATCTTTGTTGCAGCCTGTGGGCTTCCTCTCATTTCAGCGCACTGGGACTACTCTCTAGTTGCAGTGTGCTCACTCCTTGCAGCAGCTTCTCTTGCTGCGGAGCATGGGCTTTAGAGCCAGAGGGCTTAGTAGTAGCGGCATGTGGACTTAGTTGCCCAACCAGGGATCACACCTGCGTTCCTCCTTTGGAAGGCGGATTCTTAACTATTGGACCACCAGGAAAGTCCTGTGACTTGTCTTTTGATACATGCAGCTTTACTAAGCAAGTCTAATATTCCACAATAGTCTCTCTTCTGACAGAAAAGACAACTCTTAATGTAAATACCTGGCCATTTGCATGTACTGTGCCTATGACTGCAGTTTTCTTAGCCAGGAGCCGTCTTTTACTAAACCATCCTCTCCCCCCATAAGCCTGGCTCTGTCCTACTTCCATCCTCACCTCAGCCTCAGCATCCATGTCTCCAGGTATTTTCTCAGGCTTCCTTTACAGCGGTTTGGGCTCCGTTCTCTGTACAGAGCCTGGTACCCTTTCTTAGCGTACCTTGCTTCCCTGGTTGTCTTCCCAGATGGACTGGAAACTCTGAGAGCAGGGACCTCATCTCTTGTTTGCCATTGTATTTTCAGGGCTTCGAGTTGTAGTGTCTGATACTAGAAGTGTATGAATGATGTTAGAAGTGTATGAATATGTTAGAAGCTGAATAAATGCCATTCAAGGTGTCATGACTTAGAAATGTCTTTTTGCACTTGCTGGGTGTATCTCGTGTCTCAGGCCTTGTGCTATGATTTCTGAAACGATGCAAATGTTTCACCGAAAGACAGTGTAGAATTTTTTTTTTATCGTGGTGATTTTACCGATGAGCGAGACCCAAGATATTTAATATGCTGCAAATTCTGTTAATGTTATCTTAAACAAATTACTTATTCATTTCAGCGGAAACACAGAGCCTGTTAGATCAATAACATAACATTGGAAAAATCATTAAATGCCTGTTTATATAGCAGCTCTTAATGGCTTCTTTGGCTCAGTTACAAATCGTTTTTGATTTACATTTAAGGAGTTGCTTTTTAACTGACACCTGTCTTTTCTTTTTTTTTTATTTCTTCATCGTGCTGAGTCTGATCAAAATTTTTTCAAAGCATTTTCATGACTATGACAGCTCTTTCTCAGGTCTATCAGAATGATTAAAACTCTTCTCCTGAGTGCCATTTAGTTTGATTCCTGTTGCTTTTTGTTTCTTTGTTTCTTCACATTCTTCCCCTTTGTCTGGGAAGACAGCCTGTGGCCAGTGTGGGACTTGATGCCATGGAGGAGATCACTGAGCCTCATAGTTTGAGAATTTTTCTCAGTCATTGAATAAGAAAGCACCTGTAATGGTCACATCTGAATAACTCAGATATATTTAGGATTTTTATATACCTAATGCAGTCTTCGGAGAAGGCAGTGGCAACCCACTCCATTGTTCTTGCCTGGAGAATCCCAGGGACGGGGGAGCCTGGTGGGCTGCCGTCTATGGGGTTGCACAGAGTCAGACATGACTGAAGTGACTTAGCAGCAGCAGTAATGCAGTCTTATTAAATGGGGGAAAGAGCTCAACAATATTTCAAATATACTGGCTCTACCTAGTCTTACTCTCAATATTTAGACATTGTCTTATGTGTCCTTAGGCTCCTCTGTCCATGGAATTCTCCAGGCAAGAATACTGGAGTGAGTAGCCATTCTCTTCTCCAAGGGGATCTTCCTGACCCAGGGATCGAACCCAGGTCTGCAGTGCAGGCAGATTCTTTACAGTGTGAGCTACCAGGGAAACCCCTTAAATACATTATAAGGCATTATCCCTCTGCCTGTAATTCTTATAGAAATAGCTTGAGGAAAATTAGCTTTTCATTTGTTTTGAAAGTCAGAGGTTGGAGCACATGATGAATACTACAGGGAAATTTTAAAAAGCAAAAATTGATG